CAAAAACAATGTATCTAGCACTAGTCCCCAAAATAAATTAAAACATGAATCCTCTCCTATAGGTTGCTAACTATAAAATAAATAAACAAACTTTATTCCTGACATTTGGAATACAAAGAACTCAAAACTTACAGATGTTAATGTCAACAAAAGTGTTTTTTTTTTTTTAATGTCAATAAGAGGTCTCCTCCCTCCCCCACCCCTCCACCCCCGCCATAATTAACAGGCTTACTGTAACCCTGTGTATGTTTTCTCCTTAAATATGTACTGGGCCCCTATTCTGGTTTTCTGAAGTCTAGACTCCCTTCCAAAGCACTGAAAGTAAAAATGCCTGTTTTCTCTTAATATTTCTGAATTTTCTTTTGAAGAACTAAGGCTTAAATTACTCATGTAAGAGTCCAACATCTAAACTACAACCCAGGTTAATTAAAGACCCAAGACCAATGGAATTTTCTGGAGGAATTCTTACTTGTCTCTCTGTTGCCCTGTTGAAAAGTTGCACCTCCAAATTGATTTACTCAGAGTAGACAGATTTGTACCACGAGCTGGGTGGTGGATTCTGCATTGAACTTAGGGAATCTGGCAGAAGACCAGGAGGTAGGGTGAATGAGGAAGAAACCTGCCTTGTGGCCACAATTAGAGTTCCTTCCTTCCTTCCTTCCTTTTTTGCCTTAGCAATAGGATCTAATTTAGAATATTTACCTGCAGCTACAATAATTTATACAATACACAAAATATGGGATAGCCATCCCTACCAACATGTGCAATTATACAGTAATCACTCACCACTTATATCTTAAACCTGACCCCTGTTTTAATCACAGGCAACAAACTACCTCACGATTGCTTGGTATGCTTTTTTTTTTTAACTATACCTGTATTTTTTCCCAACATAGCCGTATGTTTTTAAAGCTTATTGAGTTTCTGATCAGCTTCAGAACATTTTACTTAGATCCGGTTGCACTAAGAGTAAGAAGTAAATTTAGAACAATTACCCTATAGTTCCTCCCCTGATAATCATACTATTAAAATGGTATACAAATGAACAAAGTGTGTGACTACCAATACAAATGCCAGGACTTGCTATAATATAAAATTTAACTTGAATTTTACTGCATTTTTTTTTTTGAGAGGTTTTTGCTATAGGGCGCATGCACTTGCCAGATAGACAGAGAGAGACGGAGAGACAGAAAGCGAGAAATCACCTCCTGGTGGGATGGCCCCACCGCAATCCCTTCTCCATTCTCCTTTCGGTTTCTTGGGCATGCACACACGCACGCCCAGTATGAATTTAAGCCACTGGGTCCGGAACCACGGTCGATTACATGGGAATCCAGCGACATAGCCATTATGCCATCTGCTGTTCCCAACTTTTACTGCATTTTTCAAATGCAAAATTTTTAAGACAACATAGTATTTCAATCTATACCTTTTTTGTGATTGACTTCATCTGTCCTCTGATACATGCCATGGCTTTTGGCTGATGTTAAAACTGACTCAGCTTTAACCAATAATTGTTCTGAAAGGTTTGTGTATACACATGGTCTTAGACCTCCTTTTGTATATAGAAATGCTATATATTTTTTATGTTGATATTGTATCTTGCTACTTTACTGTATTTATTTATTCCAGTTTTTCCATGGATACCCTTGGGTCTTCCATGTATACAATCATGTCATCTCCAAATAGAGATAATTTGACCTCTTCTTTTCCTAATTAAATGACTTTTATTTCATTCTCTTTTCTAATTGCATTGGCTAGGACTTTCAGCACTATACTGAAAAGGAATGGAGAAAGTGGACAGCCTTGTCTTGAATCAGCTTTAGTGGAAAACCTTTCAGCTTTACCCCATTCAGTATGTCAGCTATAGGTTTTTCATAGATAGTTTTTATTGTGTTGAGGAATGACCTTTCTATGCCGATTTTGCTAAGATTCTTAATCATGATGGGATGTTGTATTTTATCAAACGCTTTTTCTGCATCAATTGATGGGATCATATGCTTTAGATTTTTCTTTCTGTTGATATGGTGTATTACGTTTATTGTTTTGCGTATGTGGAACCACCCCTGCATCCCTGGAATAAAGTCTACCTGGTCGTGATGTACAATCTTTTTTATATGCTGTCGGATACCAGAATTTATGCGTGTATATTCACCAGAGATATTGATCTGTCGTTTTCCTTCCTTGTCACCAGAGCTGTAAGCAAGACCTCTCTTCGCAGAAAGCGAAGGGCTTAGGCAAAACGCCTCTTGCTTGAGCTCAGTTCTCCGCGGTCATCTTGCTCCCCAGAAACGTGGGGCTGTTTTTGGAAATTTTAACAGCAGAGCCAGCTCAGTCATGTCTCACTAGTCCTCTCTCTTCTTGACCTGAGCGCTAACCAGTCATCTTTTCCTGCCAGCCGCCTCTTCCCCACACCGAGTAGCAAGAAATGAGTTCCGAGCGGCCCAAATGGTAGAGACCTGTCTTCACTGGTTTCCCGCTGTTCGGACCGGCGCGAGGGCCTCACCTGTGGGTAGAGATGCCGCATGAACTGCTCCTGCGAAACGCCCTCGAGCCGGGGTACCGGGATGCGCGGCCCAGCCATCGCTGCTCACGCCCGCCTTCTTCCCAAAAGCTTCCGAACTTCGGCTTCAACGTGTTCCTCAGCGCGAGATCCGCTCGGAAACACGACCCGGAGAGAAAAGGTCCGCGAGGCCGGCGGACTTGGCTGGTTGCAGACGCGAGGCGGAGAGCCGGAGCATCCTGCATGGGCTGTGGGCTGGAGAGCGCGGCTGAGTAGGACTCACCAGAGGTGGCAGCAACAAGCCGGCTTTGCTGTATCTCACTTATCTGAGTTGGTTTCCCACCGGCCTCCTTTTGGTACAGCACAGGCAATCGAAGGGGTGAGAGGTCATAAAGATGGCGCTGGCTGCACGTCTGCTACCTCGCTTGCTGCTTTCTAGGTCTCCTAGCCGCGGAGCCACCAGACTCCGGCCTCCAGGTGCAGCTGAATTGAGGCTGCCCCTGGCCGGACTTTGCTGCTTTTGCAGCCTCCGCTTCGGCTCGGGAGTGGCGGCATTTTCCCGTTGCACTTGGGCCCGGGAGGCCTCGGCGCCTCCTGCTCCGGCGCCCCGGCGGCCCCTTCTCAGCTCTGCAGGACGGTTCCCCGCAGCCCTCGCTTCCTTTCCCCCCTGCGCTCTGCGCAGCTACAGCACTGAGGAGCAGCCTCAGCCACGCCAGAAAACCAAGATGATCATCCTAGGATTCTCCAACCCGATCAACTGGGTTCGGACTCGAATTTACTCCTTCCTTATCTGGGCCTATTTCGACAAAGAGTTCAGCATCGCAGAGTTCTCTGAGGGGGCGAAGCAGGTTTGTCCATTTCCCTGCTTGACCTGTGTCTCTTACGCATTCAGCTATTACAGCAGAAGTGTTTCCTGGGTTATCAAATGTGTGTAGTGGGCCAGACAGAGCCCTCCATCCTAGTGTATGTTTGCACTTAACGCCGAGGAAGAGGGTGAGACTCCGGCGAAGTTTCCCACGTACCTTTTCTCTTTACGGGTTTTCACTCAGTTGGATTCAAAGGTCATTTCAGCCTCTTAATAGCTCTAGGGGCTTACCTTTTCCGAGCCTGATTTTTCATATGTGTAACATAGTGAAGCCAGTACATCCCGCATAGCAGACACTCCATATATGTATAGTGGATAAGAGTATTGTGAAGAATAAACAAGGTAATTTCCAAAAGGTTATCATGTCATCTTGGGTAGAGAGGCAGAATTTTCTGCTAGCTCTTTGTCAGAGCTCTGTTGCTTTCCTCTCGCCCACACTGCTTAATGACTGAACTGGAAAGAAGCAATTTTAACCATTTCCAAGAATTTGCTTCGACTGCCAGGTCACTGAGAAGTGCACAGCTCCTGGTGCACTGAGAATACTTAGCTGATAAGTGGCTGATAACCTTGACGTATCTTTACCACATAATGGTCACTTCGGTCCTGTTTATTTGCATGTTTTGTGTGTACGTTCATTTTTCTAGGGCCATCTGTACTTTCTCTTGACTCTCTTTAAAGAATTTGTCATTCCCAAACATTGCAGAACTCTTCATTAACGTTGAAATCACAATTTATTTCCCACTTCATACCTCCAGAGTATCTTAAAATCACATCATCAATCTAATGCCTTTACAATATTAATTGTATGCTGGGCATTGATATTTTTACTTCAGATTTATTTCAGGTTATTTACATAATCATGACCATTTTATATATATTTAAACTATTAGCTATAAATTACTGTAAATGTTTTCAGTTTTATGAGATCAATACCGGTATTAATTTCTGCTTTCTGCACTTGATTATGTATGAGTTTATTTAAAGGGGGAAAAAAAAGAACAAGCTTGATTAATATGCCTAACTCGGCATCACAACTAAGGGAGAAACGTCTTGTTCATGTCAGTTCTCAATATATTTTATCCATGCAAAGGTCATTTATGTGATCCTAGTGTTCTCCACAATGCCCACTGATGATGTGTGAGCTTGTTCACCTCATAACACATCTGTGACCCTACCAACTCCCTTATGTGTCAGTAAAGAATGGAAATCATCTCCCCACCATGGGTAGGATTCAGACCCTAGTCCTTGTTTGCTCTGAACAGTGTTGCTTAGAGACCTTTTTGAGTCACTCGGTGATCCCAGTCATCCTCTAGCTGTTAACTATTTTAGCCTCCCTCGTTGCTAAGCAGCATCTGCACTCCTTCATCAAATGTACCTACTTTTGATTTTTTTTAAATTTATTTATTTCTTCCATGGTGAGGTAGGGGGGGCACACCCAAGAGGGTCCTCCTGTCATAGTCCACCTCCCAGCCTAAGTTGACCCATATTACAGGTGCATGCAACATGCCCTGCATGCACAGAGAGGCCACTGGACATGAACCAGAGACTTTCCTGTAAGGGTCCAGTTCTGTCATTCCTGTGGCATCCCCTGGCCCCCACTTTTGCTTTATCTAAGTGTTTTTGTGTAGTTAACCATTCTGACTTCCTTAAGAAGAATGTCTGGGATCATATAGCAATATTTAGTGATTTTCTTAAGTCAGTGGTTACTGAGCATACTAGTTAAAATCAAACTAGCCAGTTCTTCAATACTTAAGATTTAGAAGGAAATGGCCAGAAACCTCTCTACTAAGTTTCATGATGCAACTGTGCCTTCCCTTGGATGCATGTAATTCTAGGGCCTGAGAATAATCTATACAGGGGCCAGCAGGTGGCGGGGTGGTTAAGACAGCTGGACTCCCATGTGGCTGACCATGGTTTGAGTCCTGGACCTGGCAGCTTCCTTTCTCACTTTCCTTCTCTCTTTTCTCTCTCTAGTCAACTTCAAAAAAATAAAATAAAATGACAATAAATACAATACAATAAAATAATTCTTTAAAAAAAAGAGAATAATCTATACAAAAACTCAACTAGTTTATCTTCTCCTAGTGGGCCCTACTCCCCTTTCTTCTCAGGCTTATTTCTCCCAGCAATAAGATATTATCTTGGCTTGTGAATATCAATTGGATCATATTTATTATGATTTTATTTTTTAATCATAGAACATGGAAATGAAAAGATGCTTTTTTCTAGTCTAATCCTTCTTTGCAAATGATGAGAGCAAATTCTAGAAATGTGAAATGACTGGCTCCAGGATGCATAACTAGTAAGTGGGGAAGCTCACTGTCCTAGGACTTGCTCTACAAGCAGTCTTGGTCCTCCACTGGAGATTGCGATGGCTAAATACAATCTAGGTAAGCTTTTATTGATCCTGTGAGCCAGGAGAATACTGGCCCAGTGTTACACAGCCTTGGACCTGGCAGCTTCCTTTCTCACTTTCCTTCTCTCTTTTCTCTCTCTAGTCAACTTCAAAAAAATAAAATAAAATGACAATAAATACAATACAATAAAATAATTCTTTAAAAAAAAGAGAATAATCTATACAAAAACTCAACTAGTTTATCTTCTCCTAGTGGGCCCTACTCCCCTTTCTTCTCAGGCTTATTTCTCCCAGCAATAAGATATTATCTTGGCTTGTGAATATCAATTGGATCATATTTATTATGATTTTATTTTTTAATCATAGAACATGGAAATGAAAAGATGCTTTTTTCTAGTCTAATCCTTCTTTGCAAATGATGAGAGCAAATTCTAGAAATGTGAAATGACTGGCTCCAGGATGCATAACTAGTAAGTGGGGAAGCTCACTGTCCTAGGACTTGCTCTACAAGCAGTCTTGGTCCTCCACTGGAGATTGCGATGGCTAAATACAATCTAGGTAAGCTTTTATTGATCCTGTGAGCCAGGAGAATACTGGCCCAGTGTTACACAGCCTTATCAGCTCCACAGACGCTGCTTGCTATTGACAAGTACAGTACCTTCTCTGTTACTACTGGAATACTACACCCTTTTTTTTCCCTTATACCTCACTTGTACATTTTAGCTTTTTCTATGAAAAAGGGGGCTGTTTCCGAGGAGTTGGAGGTTGGACACTCCTGTGTTATTCAGGCCTCTTCATAGCAGCTTCCTAGTGGTTCATTATTACATTTTAGGATAATTTGCTCAGGTGTAATCTTCCTTGGCCACACATGCTAGAGTCTAAGGATTGAGTTTCAACATGATGGTTACAGTCTTTGTTTCTTTTACCCAAAGTATCACCCATCTGTATACGCAAAGGCTTCCCAAAATACGGTATCTCTGAATCCTGTCTCTAAAGTGTTATAAAGTGTTCGTGAATCCATTCAGACGTGCATTTTTTCAGAGTTCAGCACCATTGCTATATTGTTTTGCTAGTGCTGTGGTAAAGCATCATAGATTGGATGGTTTAAACACTAGAAATACCAGTATTGAGGATGTCAGAGGTTCAGTTTCTCCTGAGACCGCTCTCCTTGTGTCGCAGATGACTTCTCTTCTTGCTGTGCTCTTATACAGTCTCTTACACAGACTTCTCATGACTCCTTTTGCGTCCACGTGTTTTCCTTGAATCAGTATACCCGAATGGCCTCATATTAACTTAATCACCCCCTTAAAGGCCTTATCTGTAAACGTGGTCACATTTCCAAGTAGTAGGGTTTAAGGATTCAACATAGGAGGGGGAGTTTCCCAATGCATCACATAACTGTTATGTCATAGTCTTTGTCGTTCCACCTGTATATCCCCTTTCTCCTGCTAGTTCTTCAGATTTCAGCGTAGATATTACCTCCTTTAGGAATCTCTCTCTGGTTAGGTGGCTCTTCTGTACCTCCCAAATCATCTTGTTCTTAACTGTCATGATTCTTGAACTTATCAGTTTACTTGTTTCTCTCCCCAATCTTTAAAGACTGGGAACTTTGAAGACAGATAGGGTCTTAAATTATACCTTCATTTTTTCATTGCTAGGAATATGGAGAATTGCATTTGGGTTTTTTCCGTCTTTAAAATAGCACCTCATACTTCAGTGTTAGGGTCCCTGTTGTAGACTGTGTAAACTCATTATGTTTTTCTCCTACTTTCCCAAACTTAACCTTATAGCTTACTGAAGTTCAAACTGCAGCCCAAATCTCTAGACTCCTGATACAGTCTACTTTTCCAGCTACTGTCTGTGTATGAGTAAGAAGTGGGTTATATAACTGGTGGATGTTTACTTCATTTTTATTTTAAAAGGAAATAATACAGAAGGATTTTTATTGAGTCATCTGGTGTGTACACTTATCATTTCCCAGGTTCTGCAAGTAGATGTATAATTAGCAATTAACTCATTACTACCATATATGTGGGAAGGCCATAAAAGAAAAATCAGCCAACTTTGAAGGTGTCATCCCTAACGTTGATATATTAGTATTTGACCTTGTTTACCACCTTCACTATGAAACAGTGTTTCTATACTTGGCCCTTGCAGTATGAGCATTATATGATGTTTTGTGTGGTATTTTGAAATAATTATCACCATGCTCCCACTACTGTTCTTTTCCAGGCATTTGCTCATGTATCCAAATTGCTGTCGCAGTGTAAATTTGATCTTTTGGAAGAACTTGTGGCCAAAGAGGTACAGTAGGTTTTTCGTTCCTCTTTAAAAAATAAATGCATTACTCTTTTGCAATGGAATGATACACATTCTCCTTATTTATTAAAAATAGGGGTTATCAGGAAAGTCATGACACATTGTGCATAGAAAATAGAAAAACATATCATGACTTTCCTAGGACCTAAAAGTGTGTGAGTGGGACCAGCAGGTACCATAGTGGTTAAGGCTCTAGACTACCATGTGGTTGATTATGGTTCAAGTCCTGGACCTGGCAGCTTGAAAGTCATGCCAGCGGGGCCAGCAGGTACCATAGTGGTTAGGGCTCTAGACGACCATGTGGCAGATCATGGTTCAAGTCCTGGACCTGGCAGCTTGAAAATCATACCAGTGCGTATGCCTGCATGCCGACAGTCCTAGGAGGAGAATAGAGGAGAAGGGATGACAGCATTACTGTCACCCCAGGGGGTGATTGCTCACTTTCCCTCTCGTTGTCTATCTTTGTTTCTTTCTGGTGAGTGCATAGACCCTATGGCCAAAACCTTAAAAAAATAAAAAATGGATGTGTGTGCCAGCAGCCAAAGTAGAGTCCATGGATATGTCCCTGTGGATACTTTAGGTCATGTTAAAACATGGAATGACTCCTGCTATTTAAGGTGTAAGTAAGTAAATGGGATGTCTTTCAGTTGCCCTTATATAGTTCTGTTAGGATTATCTCATTAAATGATTAGCTGCTTTTCAGCCTTGTTTTTGAAGATGAGTAAACTTTAAAATAGGTTAAAAAATTTGTTTCATGATAAAATTTACTTTTTGAAAAGATTTTAAAATTTGAATTGGTGAACCAGTGGTTTACTTTTTCCAAACTCAGGTGCTACATATATTGAGAGAAAAGATTACTTCACTACCTGACAATCATAAAAATGCCCTTGCTGCTGACATAGATGAAATTGTATATACATCAACAGGAGACATCTCCATTTACTATGATGAGAAAGGTAATACTGAAACATAGTCAACTCTAAATGATTCATAACTGTCCAGATAAGCTAAAGTCGCAGAGAATCAGGAAATAGTGGGGTTTTATCTGTATAAACAAGTATTTATAGAATTTCAAAGAAAATTATACATTCATTCTTTAAAACTATTTCTCTGAGGGCTGATTCTGTAGCACAACAGTTTAAGCAGTGTGCATAGAAAGCCAGATCCTATGTGGCCAGAACCGTCCCTGACTGTGGTTCAGAACCCTCCCTGGCAACTTGAAAAACATGACAGGCACATGTGTGAATAGGCCCCAAATCCTGATAGGTTGGAGAAATGGAGGAAGAAGGTTTGCAGCATTGTCACACCCCACTGAGGGTGGAGTTTTTTTTTTCTCTCTCTCTTTCTCTTATTCAATCTGGTGAGTGCGTGTAACCTTTGGCAGTTAACTATACAAATAAAAATAAAGGCCTAGCTCTTAAGAATTCAAATATAGTAATAGTTTCTGTTAGTACCTTTTTAAAATTTTGTCAGAAATCACTGAGGGAAAATGAGAAGGCAGCTCCCATGGGGGATGGTCATGCTACTGTCCCTTCTCCTCCATTTTTACACACATGCCCAGTATGTTTCTCAAGCTGTCCGGTCCACATGCAGTCAGCCATGTGGGATCTAGCTACCTTAACCACAGTGCCACCAGCTGGCTCAAGAAATAAGAAATAATAGTAGTTTCTTAAGGCTTTCCATTTTGTTTTCATTTTATTTTGATTTGCCAGAGGGTTTATCAGAGAGACAGAGATAACACACCCCAGTGAGCCATGATTATATCACAAGCCTTTTTCCTTCAATTTTCCATCCTGTCAGAATTTTAGGGACCCACATGTAAACATGTGGTGTGTTTTTTAAGCCACTGGAGCCAAGATTCAAACTGCTTTCAGCCATGTGGTTTTCCAGCTCCCGGGCACAGGGCTTAACCCTACACTATTAGTCTGGCTCTCATGCCTTTCTATTTAGAACTTATCCCTATTACTATTGGGTCTTCGGGAAAGTCATGACACATTTTTTGCATAGAGAAACATAGAAAAATGCATCATGAGTTTCCGAGCAACATAATATTTAATTCCCTGGAGAGCACAGCAGCACTTACAGATGAGCTGCTCCTATGTCTCAAATTCTCCTTCATTTTTGGTTTGACAACAGATCTGTCATAAGATTATTAAAATTTTAGAAAATGCCACAAATGGGAAGTAATCCATGTAATACACTTAGTAAGGTATATTAGGGAAATAGTAGTTCTGAGATGCAACAAAGAAAGCAAGTATGTTGTAAGCTCTAAGAGAATTTCCTAACAATAATGAGTATCAATGCAGGTATCTTAAATGACACCAAAATAAACCTAACACTTGATCTGTAACAACTGTATAACTACAGCCAATTGCTGATTTGATTTTGAAAATGTGGATGATGGATTATTGTGATTTGTATTTGTGTGTGTGTATGTTTTTTCTCTAAGGAAGGAAGTTTGTTAACATCCTGATGTGCTTTTGGTATCTAACCAGTGCCAACATCCCCAGTGAAACTTTACGTGGAGCTAGTGTGTTCCAGGTTAAGTTGGGGGATCAGAACGTGGAAACTAAACAACTTCTTAGTGCAAGCTATGAGTAAGTGTAATCACATTTCATTGTTTCCCTTCTCCAGAAATGGAAGGTAGTGTGAAAGTATGAAAACTAAAGGAAGCTTTAGGAAGACAAGGATTGAAATTTGACAAGTTATTTATGAAGAGAAAAGGTCATAAAGACACACTGGATTTGAAACAGAAGTGTTCAGAAGTTAGAAAGAGGTAATGCTGAATTTAATTAAATGCTGCTTCAGCTATCTATTGCTGAACTCAGTGGCTTCAAACAACCATTCATTTTGCCTGCTATTTTACTGCTCAGGAAGTTGGAAAGGCTCAGCTATGGGGTTTTCCTCTTTTACCTGGTGTCTACTGGAGTGACAGAGGCTGGAGAATTCATTTCCACGGTGATCTTCATGCACATGGGTGACACCTGGGTGTTCCTTGCCTTCTCCATGCTCTCTCATTCTCCTGCGCCTCTCTCTGTGCCTTGAGCTTGTCATTTCAAACTAGTCACATCCTTTACAATGTAAAGATTGGATTTCAAGATACAGAAAGTAGAATCTTCTAGACCAGTAAAGGGCTGTGTCCAGAATTAAAACATCATTTCTGCCATAGCCTACTGGTCAAATTTATGTAAGCTTGCTTTCAAACAACAAATTCCAAAAATGACATGAGAAAGTGTATTTTGTTTCTTTAAGGTAAAGAGAATTGTATCTTCATGTTTTTCACTTCTCTTGAAGGAAAAATTTTCTTAATTTTGTTTTATTTGTAATTCCCCAAAATAATCTATATATTTAAGTACTTACTGAGTAGTCACTTTTATAAGATATCATTTATAATTAAAGGTCACTGTCATTAATACTAAACTCTGTCTCTTCTGATGTGCTTTATTAAGACCATGACAGCTGATAAACACTGTTATTTTTATGATTGATTTAATGTATATAAACCAAATACCACTATTTATTTCTAGATTGATAACTTATTTTAAAAACAGTTTTCTATATTCTAAGCTATATATTTAAAGTGCTGTTTGAATCACCTGAGTTCAGCTTATTTCTCCTTATATTACATAATAGGCATCTGTGACAGCTCGTATTTAATAACAGAATAATATCCAAATTTCTATAGAAGCATAGCAGATGTTGAATGTAGATTAATCTCTTACAAATATTCAATTTAGTTAAGAATGTTGTTCAGTTTGGAGGTTTTTTTGTGTGTGTGATTATATTGGTAAATTGAACTTTTTCATTGCTCAGATTTTGATTTACCAGTAACATTAGCTTGTTCTTAAAAACTATCTCTAATATACACTTGCATATAATTATCCATCAAGTACTTGGGATGATGTAAGATTCACATTATTTGCAATATTTTTTATAGATTTCAGAGGGAGTTTACACAAGGAGTAAAGCCCGACTGGAACATTACACGGATTGAACACTCAAAGTTATTGGAATAATGTTTCTTGAAAAAATCAGCTTATGGACTGTTAGTAATTGCTGTGAAAAACTAAGGAAGAAAACTTTTTGGATCATTTGATCTTCACTTAATCAAGTCTGTGGGTTACTTTTATATTATTTTGAAATATTCCTTGAATTATATTGGCATGATACATTAAAGCATTTTCCACAGATTGTTATCACTGTCTTTAAAAGAGGCCAAATTAAAAAAAAAGGTACAACAATAACACATTATTAGTGTCATATTCAGTATCATTTCCAATGTTAAATATATGTATATCTATTCACACACACTAGACACAAGCTATAATTTATAGACATAATAGAGTAGGTATTTATAAAAAGACTATAGGGGCCAGTAGATGGCATAATTGGTTAAGGTACTGGATGGACTCCCATGTGGCTGACTGTGGTTCGAGTTCCAGACCTGGCAACTTGAAACTCACACCGGGTGCATGTATATGTATACACAAGAGAAGAAAGAATTATGGTGTGGTCATCTCCCCTGGTAGTGATTTCTCACTTTCTGTCTCTCTGTCTCTGGCAAATGCATATGCCTTAGAGCAAAAAAAAACTCTGGGAAATGAAAAGCCCTTAGAAAAAAAAAAAAAAAAAAAAAAAAAAAACTCTCTCTCAGAAAAAAGAAAAAAAAAGTACTCATCTCTGAATTAATAGGTCTTAAATATTTTATTTGTAGCCAGAACATTTATCCAAGTATGTGTAAGAGTTGTTTTTTTTTTTAAGAATTATTTATTTAATTCCATTTGTTTTGATTATTATTTATTTTTAATTTGATCAGACAGAGACAGAGAAAGGGGAAGAAAGGGATACTGAAAAAGCAAGCTGCCAGGTCCAGGACTTTTTTCTTCTTTTTTTTTTTTTTTTGAGAAGCTTTTTTTTGCTATAGGGTATGTGCACTCACCAGAAAGAGAGAGATAGAAAGTAAGAAATCACCCCCAGGGGGGATGGCCACGCTGCAATCCATTCTCCTCTTGGGATCTTGGCATGCACTCACATGTGCCCAGTGTAAGTTTAAGCCACCGGGTTCAGGACGTGAATTGCAGTTGGCTACATGGGAGTTCAGCAACATGGCCATTACACTAACTGCTTGTCCCCCAGGTCTGGGACTTGAACTGCAGTTGGCCATATGGAAATCCAGCACCTTTATCCACCACGCCACCTGCTGGCCCCCATGTGTAAGAGTTATTTTTAAAAGCCACTGCTTCTGTTTCATTTTTATGCTTATTAGCTAGATGAGAAGGAAGGGATGAAATTATAGCAGATCGGTTTCTGCAGAACTAAAGGCCAGTGTACTTAAAGCATACTAAAGTACAAAAAAACCCCAGCACCTCAGTAACCTGTAGGATAATATCAGCCTCCCTTATACCAACTTTTTTTTTTATTAAGATTTTTTATTTTAACTTTATTATTATTATTGTTTTCCAGTTTGATCAGAGAGAGACAGAGAAAGAGGGAAAGTGAGAAAGTAAGCCACCAGGTCCGGGACTTGAACCGTAGTCAGCCATGTGGGAGTCCAGCACCCTTAACCACCACGCCACCTGCCAACACTGAGCTGAATAAACCTTTACTCTTTATAAATTATCCAGACTGGTATTCCATTATAGCAACAAAAAAATGGACTAGAACAGTATTCAAATTGCCAAGGGTGTTAATCCCCTTAGCCCTTAGGAAAACAAAAACTACAAAATACCATTGTAAACTCATAGAATGGCAGAAATAAAAATAATAACTGCCAGTACCAAATATTGGTGATGATATGGAGCAACTAGAATTCTCATACATTGTTGACAGGAGTGCAACATATTACAGTCACTTTGGAAGATAATTTTGCAGTTTCTCATAAAGTTAAATATACACTTACGATAGGACTTGGCAATTCTATTCCTAGTATGTCCCCAGGAGAAGTGAAAACATGTATCTATATAAAGGCTTGTATATGAATGTCCATAGCAGCATTTTTTCTTAAATAACTCCAAATAGAAAGATCCCAAATGTTCAGTAGATGAGTGGATATACAAGGAGTGAAGGAAGCCAGAGAGAAAAAAAGGACTTATTTACTTACTGCATCATTCTATTTATGTAAAACTTTATAAACTATAATGATAGTAAATTGATATTTGCCTGGGGCTGAGGTAGAGGTTTGGGATGATGGGTGTGGGCTGGGGAGGCTTGACTGCAAAGGTGTTCAAAGGAAGTTTTAGGAGTGGCAAGAGCTTGTAGATCTTAATTTTAGTGGCAATTACATGGCTTCATACAGTTGTGACTCATCAAATTGTGGATTTAAAATAGCATTTTTACTGTATGTAGATTGTATATATTTTATGCAAATTATACCTAAATAAATTTTATAGCAGCCAAATGATTAACAAGAAAAGTAAATTGCAGAAAGTATGCTGAAATGATTCTATTTTTGTAACTAAGAGAACTAATCTGTATTCCATCTACTCTTATATCTAATCTTCATGTAATTTTATCTAATCTTAGATCTAATCATCATGTAATTTCATCTAATCTTAGAGTTTATAATAACAGGAAAGCAAAACTGAAAGATTTGGAAATTTTACAGCCTGGTCATGCAGAGAATGAAAAAAATGTGTTAGAGAATGCTAAGAGTGTGGCCACCCAACCTGTTGCTAAAGAAATTAATATTGATAGGAGGGAGTCCATTGTTAATGGGCAAGACAATGAGACCATTGTCTTGAGGCCCACAAAGACATTTCAGAGATCTTCAAGGCTACCATCCCATCACAGACCCAGATAATACTTAGATAAGCCACATAATATGAAAGAGGAAAAAAATGCAGCCAGTTAAATTCATAATTTGGACAAAGAGATGGAGAGAGTGAGAGAAGGGGAAAGAGAGAGCAAGTCACCAGGTCTGGGACTCTAACCATGTGGGCCATGTGGGAGTCCAATACCTGAACCACCAGGCCACCTGCCGGCCCCATATAATTCCAAGATTTTAAATTGGGAAAGTGTGATTTAGAATCAATTTTTGTTTTCCAATTGTATATCAGTAAAGCTGGGAGGCGTGTATCTGATATCCAAGTTATGGTCTTTGTATGTGGTGTCCCATAAAAAGAACCCTGCTGCTTTGGGAACAATTCCAAGTCTGTGCAGAAAATAAGATTAACCTGAGAAAGATTCTTGGCCGTGAAAGCAAACAATGGCAAAGATGACTGGAATAATATTGAAAGGACATGAGCTAACATGAAAGGGTGTCCACTAGGTAAGATGGTTCAATATGAAAATTAAAAAGTAATGGTTCTGTGAACTGAAACATGTCACGTATTTTAAAAAGTCATGATTTTCTAGCAAAACTCTCAATATTAAAAACATTATTGGATAACTTTGGAAGTCTCTAGAGCACTAACTCATTTTGTTATTCTTTCTCTTTCTTTTTTAAACATTTTGCCAGAGGGCATGGGCACTCATTGGTGAGAGAGAAAGAAAGAGACAGTAAAAAAGAATCCCTGATGGGGTATAGTCACACCACAGTCTCTTCTCTCCTTTCAGGATTTTGGGCAAACACACACATACAAAGACACACACACACGCTGGACATGTTTCTCAGGCCACCAGGTCCAGGACTTGAACTGCACAGCCAAACGTGGGAGACAGCCACCTTAACCGCACTACTATGAGTTGGCACACTAATTTCATTATTCTGCAAATTAATAAGGATTAAAAGTCAAGTATTTATCATGTCTTTCATGTATGTTCTAGTTATTTATTGCTGCCTAACCAACCGTAAATTTAGTTAGTTAAAATAATAATTATCCCTATTACTCACGAATCTGGTGGGAATTTGGGCAGGGATTGGTTTGACAATTTTTCAATCTATGTGCATTGTCTAGGGTTAATAGGGATTTCAACTGAAGGTTAAGCTAGTATGAAAGATTAAATATGGCTTTACTCATGTGTCTGGCACCATATTGGGGATAACCAGACATAATCGTTTCGGTTTCTCACCTATCTTTAAATTTTTTCTCCTAAAATTATGCTGGTTACAGATGAAATATAAATTGGCCTGTCCTCTGCTATCCCAGGGAAAAAAAGTCCTATGGTGTCATTTAATGTAGCCAATTTGTCCTTACTGTGATGTATCGTTTCATCAAAAATTTTGGCCATTCAAGGTTATATGACACATTCCTGCAGGTATTTGTCTTGGCCTCACTGGTTCCTATGACTCAGACAACCCAATTACTGCTGATGTTTCTTTTCATCAATTGGTCTTTATTCTGTAAGCAGCCTTTGCAAAGACGGGACTTCAGCATTAAGCAGCCCTGATGACCTACTTAACCATTTCCTCTAGCTTTTAAGGAATCTCTTTGATTTAGAACTCCATTCTTACCTCAAAATTTTCTTTCACTAGATCTTTTTATGTTCATAGAATTCTAAAGTTGTGAATAACTTCAAAAACATGGCAGATATCATTGTGTGTATTACTCTTAATTTTCAGCAATTGACATTCCACAAGAGAGCCACAAGTTCAACCCTTTGAGCCAGTTTGACTTCTGGAAAGAAATTGAATTCTATAACAGAGACTTACATAGCCAGCCTTATGTTCTTATTACTCATTTTTGATACAAGAAACACCAGCAAATTACAGTAAGTGTAAATTTAGTTTGGTGTTCAAAAGATCTACTGTGGGTACCCACCCCCAATAGGGTATGTGTGCTCATCAGAGTGAGACAGGGAAAGTGAGAAATCATCCCCCACCGGGGGGATGGCCATGCTGCACTCCCTTCTCTCCATTCTCCTCTCTGGATTCCGGGCACGCACACACATGCACCTGGCGTGAATCTAACTGGCCAACCATATGGGAATCCAGCACCTTAGCCTCCACGCCCTGCACATAGGCACTTCTGGAACTACAGAAACACCATCATGAGATTCTCTTTACCAATTCTATTACCCAGCTCAGGGTAATAGAGTTTCTTTTACACTAACGTGTGGCAATATGATGAAGAGAAAGTTATACTATTTTATAATTAATTAGTTGGTAGAAAAATGTTGGGTATTTTCAGTCTCAATAAAAATTATACTATGTATAATACCTTCATATTTAAAGGTGTCCCTAGTTCATGATCTGAAGAGGTTTTGAGTTTTTTTTTTTTTTGGAGAGGTTTTCGCTATAGGGCTCATGCGCTCGCCAGACAGACAGAGAGAGACAGAGAGACAGAAAGCGAGAAATCACTGCCCAGGGGGGATGGTCATGCTGCAATCTCTTCTCCTCCATTCTCCTCTCGGGATCTTGGGCACGCACGCACACGCGCCCGGCATGAGTTTTAAGCCACCGGGTCCAGGATACGAACCACGGTCTACTACGTGGGAGTCCAGTGACATAGCCATTACGCTAACTGTTGGTTCCCAAGAGGTTTTGAGTT